TTAAAGTACAATCAGGACAATTTAGACAAACTGCTATACAACTTGTCAGCCAAAACTGAAAAGTGACTTCACCAATGTCTGGAAATAACCCAGAAATGCAGCAATGATAATGACACGTAGCACTCACTGCCAAAGAAGTTAGTTCACAATTAAGCAACTTCCAAGCCAGGGTTTGAACCCAAGCAGTCAGGCCTAATAATCTGTACTTTTTTTGTTTGTTTGTTTTGGGTTGTTTTTTTTGGGGGGGGGCGGTGGAGGGTTGCTATAGGGCACATGTGCTTGCCAGAGAGACAGAGAGATAGAAGGCAAGAAATCACCCCCGGGAGGATGGCCACACTGCAATCCCTTCTCTTCAATTCTCTTCTTGGGATCTTGGGCACGCATACACACACGCCTGGCGTGAGTTTAAGCCACTGGGTCCGGGACTCGAACCACAGTTGGCTACATGGGAGTCCAGTGACATAGTCATTACACCAACTGCTGGTCCCAATAATCTGTACTTTTAACCCTACACCAGCAGTGTGGTCTGGATGTCTTCCTGCTAAAATTCCTGTGTTGAAGTCCCAGTCACCAATACTTGACAATACTTTAGAATGTAACTATTTGGTGATAAGGTAAAAGAGGCGATCAAGAGCGACCTGATGTAGGACCAGCACACGGCATAATGGTTACATTACTGGACGCCCACGTAGTTGACCAGGTTCAGTTTAAAACTCACGCTGGGCACATGTGCATGCATGTCCAAAATCCCAAGAGGAGAATGGAGGAGAAGGGATTGTGCTGTGGTCATCCCCTCAGTGGGTGATTTACTTCCTGTCTCTGTTTGGTGAGTGTGCATGTCCTGATTGGCCTGCCCTGGTGGTGAGGTTGGTAGCAAAACTGAACTTCAGTGCTGGAAGTCACATGGCTGACTGTAAGTTCAGATCCCCTGGTGGGCAAAAACAAACAAACAAAATACCAGGTAGGTAGGTAGGTGGATACATACCAGGGATTGTGGCATGATGAAACCTTATCAAGAGTACCTCTTTATTTTTCTGGTGTGTAAGCACGTACTCTATCACAAACCAGAATGAACAAACTTTAAAAAGATAAAGCTCTTAAAGCAGGGCCCTAACCCAAGAGGACTGGTGTCCTAAGAACAGTGGACACCACAGGTAGCACATACAGAGGCTGGTCAATGAGGACAAGCAAGAAGGCCACTGTCTGTTAGCCACGGAGAGGCCTCAGGATAAACAAGACTTGCCAACGCCTTGCCCTTGGACTTGCAGCCTCCAAAACCATGAAAACAATACATCTCTGTTGTTTAGGCTTCCCAGTCTGATATTTTGTTGAGGCAGCTTTAGCAAACAAATACAACCAGCATAAATTAAATCTCAACTCCCCTTCCTTCCAGAGAGTTCTAAGGTGAGGTCTGTATTCAAAAATGAAGTCATCAGCATCTCTGGAGACACACAATTAAGGAACATTTCACCCAACCTCGCTTAACACTAAAATTCAATAAGAGATCACATTGTCCCTGTTATTGTCCGAACATTTTCTTTTTACACTCGTAAGAGGACCGAGGGTACAATAAGAACTCCTTTTTGCCCTACTTTTATCCAAGGAACTGATAAGGACCTCCTTTGTACTAAAATCCACCGTCTCCTTTCTCTTCCTCATCTCCTCTCCTAAGGAGGCATCACACCGACATCTTGCAATTACTAGCCTTAACCAGGAAACCGCTTTCGTCTTTCCCTGCTACACACCCATATTTTGTTTGCTTGTTTGTTTTAATTTGCTATAGGGCATACATCTGAGAAAGAGAAATTACCCCATAAGGGTTCATGCTGCAATCCCTTCTTCATTCTCCTTTCAGGATTTTGGCCATACACACACGCATACGCCTGGCATGTTTTTCAGGTCATCAGGTCTGGGACTTGAACCACACTGTCAGCCATGTGGGATCCAGCCACCATGCCACCATCTGGCCCTCATTCCTGTTTTTATTAAGCACGAATAAGATACTGCTCCATTGAATGCACATCAGAAAAACTTTATCATTTTGCTGCAGAAGTATGCTTCACTGTGAAAGAGTCGGGGGCTTTTGGGGTCATTCCAGGCTCCCCACAAACTCCCATTTGTAAAGTGGAGTTTTCACCTGAAGCCTCTGAGCAGATGGCCTAGTCTGTCCACCACGGAGACACACACGAGGACTCCCCCACATACTGTACATTTCCAGACTCTTCCACAACCAGCACAGGGTTGCCCCTTTAGGCACTCCTTGGGGCTCAGGTTGCTCTCTGTAGCCCCAGGCTGGGTTTTTCACTCAAACTGCATGACTTCAGATGAAACAGTAAATACCCTTCCCAGATTCCCATATCTAAGTTATTGTCGCTCCCTTTACCTTGAGAAGATATGGAATTGCGCCCCACTCTCATAGAGACGGAAAGAAAGCAGAGATTTTAAGTCTCTTCTTGAGGTTCTGGACAAAGCTCTATGTGGTTTGGATTTTTTTTTTGGGGGGGTCATGGGGGCATGTGCACTCAACCAGAGAGACAGGTAGAAGGAAAGTGAGAAATCACGCCCCTCCCCCTATGGAGGATGTTCGTGCTGCAATCCCTTTTCTGGGAATTTTGGACACTCATGATTTTCAAAGTCATGGGGTCTGGGATGCAAACTGCAGTCAGCCACATGGGAGTCCAGCCCCTTAGCCACCATACCACCTGCTGGACTCAGTAACTGTATTTTTAACAGGAAAGATGTCACTGTGACGATGTGCTAGTCATAGCTTGGCACAATGAAAATAGAGGTCCTGGAAGATCGGAAGTAGGAAGAGGGTTGGGGTGAGTGGTAGGGGAGATGGAGAAGGCACTCCGGTTACCTGGATCAAATAGGACTTTGAGAGCCAAGAGTCTACCTACCAACCTTTCTCTGCTAGTTTTAATGTAAACAAGCATTTCACGTCAAACAGTTGTTACCAATACAGTACAATTCAACTTAGGGCATGATTTTTCATACAGTGCCAGCCTTTGTCAAGTTCTTGGTAAATTCTAGACACTATAATTCAGACAGCGACACAAATCAAAATATTTCAAAATAAAATAGCATTTAGCCTGCCCTTGCCAAGAGAAAATACGCATTAAAGCCAGGTCTGCCCCTATCACTCAGGAGGCGGGGGTAAAAGTGCAAGTGAAGACCACAGAATTACTTCATAGAGTGTTCATCAAGATCGCAAACTGTCTCATCGTCTCCCGTAATCCTCCTCCACTGACAAAGGTGGCTTTAGGACAGCTTGGGGAGTCAGGCACAATTCTGAACTCTCAGGCCCTCAAAGTTCTGGGCCAGACAAGGAAGAGTAGCCACTGATGGCCCCCTGCCCTTCCCCACCCAGAAGCCATTCTTTTGGGGGGCTGGGGCCCTTGAACACAAAAGAGGACTTCCTCACATACTGTATATTTCCAGATTCTTCCACAACCAGCACAGGGTTGCCCCTTTAGGTATTTCTTGGGGATCAGGTTTGCTAGCTCTCTCTCTACTGGGGCCATTTGGACAGGGAATTCCACCTAATCCTGGGGAGGGAGCAGTGTGGACTCTCATCCAGCCCCCTGGAGCAGCTGATGCCTAGCCCTGTAGGAAGTGGCACAGCCCAGGGAAGGCCAGACCCCCCTCCCTGCCAACACACACACACTTCAAACCCAGAGAAGTCCAAGGAGTTTCCTTTGCCTGGGTCTTAAACTCTATTTTAAGTGAACTAGATTGACTTTTCTTTCCTTGAAGCTTTCTGGGAGGGTAGGGTGGTTTAAGAGAGAATTCCTGTCTGGGAGGAATGAACAAAAAAAAAGTTACAATACTTGTGGTTATTTATTTATTTTTTGAGAAGTTTTTTGCTTAGGGTGCGTGCGCTGGCCAGACAGACAGAGAGAGTCAGAGACAGAAAGCAAGAAATCACCTCCCAGGGGGGATGGTCATGCCGCAATCCCTCCTCCTCCATTCTCCTCCAGGGATCTTGGGCATGCACGCACACTCGCCTGGCGTGGAGTTTTAAGCCACCGGGTCCGGACGCGAACCGCGGTCGACTACGTGGGAGTTCAGCGACATAGCCATTACGCTAACTGCTGGTTCTCAATACTTGTGGTTATTTAAAAAAACTAATCTACAGTTTTTCCTCAAACAGCCGACTGGCTGTACAGTGTTATCTGCAGAAGTCAGACGCGGTGAGATCCTTGCTCTGTGGCATAAACCTTTTTCTTTCCGTGTTGAGACAGGGATGGCCTTACCTAGACCTCTGCAGAGAGGTCAGAAAGCCTGAAGGAAAACTAGCAGAGGCATCTGGGTAGCAAAGTGGGGGCCCTAGGACTCAGCACAGGCCGGGTGAGGCTGGGCAAGGAGGATTGGGTCTGCTGCAAACACCCAGGCCCCCTGTGAGTCAGAAGAGTGGCCAAGGCTCTTCCTCATAAATGAGTTGTCTGCTTTGCCTCTTCTCAATCAGGGGAAGTTCGTCTACACTCTCGGCCTCCATTTTGACTTCGCTAGAATGGGGAGATCACCTGCCCATATCACCAGTGCTAATGCCCACGAGAAATTTGTACGGGCAGCCCGGGATCATTGCTTAATGAACTTCATTCAGAACCAAAAGCATGCAGGGTTCAAGCTGTGGATCGGACAGCTCTCCTCCAGCGACTCCAACATCCAAGCTGGGGTTCTGCAGAAGCTGTACCGGGGAAAGGGGGTCGGGCAAGGAGCTCGTGGGTGGGGGTTGGACGGGGCTTTAGGGAGAAGGGCAAACGGGAACAGATGGGGGAAGGCGAACTACAGGTTGTGTTATTTCCCTGCCCAGTTTTAGGGTAAGGGAAGCCGGAGTCTTCGTATGGCCCCCAGCTGGAAGTGCAAAGGACAGGCTCATAAGGCCCCAAGTTGCTCACGGTCGCGAGCCCGCGTGGGCGGACCCTGCGCTGCACCCCGCATAGGGGCCGAGAGGGGAATACCCCGGGTGGCGGGGGTCGAACAGACGCGCCACTCACCTAGCAGCAGCAGCTTGAGCTCGCGGCGCGCATCCTTCTTGTCCCGGCGGAGCTGCCGCTCGATCTCGGCGCTGATGCGCTGAGACTCTTTCTCCTCTGCCGACAGGCAGCAGCAGCCGGCCATGGTGCTCGTAGCGCCCGACGGAGGGACGCGACCCTGAGCGCCCGCTCCTCCGCACCGCTGCCCTCCCCCCCCCCCCCGCTCCCCCCCCCGCCAGTCTGTGACCGGCGGTGGTTTGGAGAACACACCTCAGCCGATTTGAGTTTGGGAGTAAGAGGCCTGAATCTCGCGCTCAGTCCTTCCTCGAGGGTGAGCTTTGAGCCGAATCTGGAGCGCCGGGACTGCTCAAGTGCTCCCCGAATCCGGACTCGGCCAGCTCCACGGTCGTTCTAGGGAGAAGAGCGAACAGAGAGGTTGGGAGCGTTGCTGGCAGCGGGAAGACGCGCACGCTCCGTGGCACAAGGGCCGGACGCCCAGTCAGTGGGCGCAGCCCCTGCGTAAAAATGTTGGGGCGTCGGTGACCGGAAGACCGTGGAATGTCCCGGGCGGTTGGAGGCAAAGGACCTGGCTGGCCCTTGCTTGGAAAGTTCCGAAACCCTCAGCAGTGACCGCAGACTCAGACCGAGGGGAAAGGTTCCTGCTGGCGTTTGTGGCTCTAAGTGGCAGGAGGAGGCGGGGCATCTTGAACCTACAGCCCTGGTGCCAGCCCGGAGTTGGCCTTCAAGGCACTTCGAGCCACTGGAGCCTGCTGGGGTGGGAGGGGGCGGGGCAGTAAAGGTTGGCGAGCAGGGAAATGGGCGAGCAGAGCCCGGGAGCCTGGGATGTCCAGGAGCAGCCCGCACACCTGCCTCCCCGGGTGTGGCGTCCCAGCCGGGAAGTGGCCGCCTGCCCAGGTCGCAGTAACCAGGGCGCTCTGGCAGCGGGCTCTCTGTGGGCCAGATCCCGGTGCCGACAGGTGAGGGGGCTTTGTCAACCCACAGCCTCAGTGGAGACTGCGGCGCCCGCAGGTCACAAGAGGAGTGGCGTGGAGCCGCCGACCGTCTGCCGCGGGACACACGCGAAGCCCGGCGGGCTGAGCTCTCCACCCCGACTTGCAGTTGAGGTTTGCACGCCAGCCTCACCGCCACACCCACGCCGGGTTCCTCGACGGGCTCCTTCCGCTTCCTGGGCGCCCTAGCGAAGCTCAGGCTTGGCCAAAGACTCTGTCAGCTCGGCCGTCTGCCTGCAAAGTGTGGCTGAGCCTGAGCCATCTGGCTCGGACTGGGAAGGCAGCCGCCACCGGGCTCAGTTATAAAAGCTCAAGAGCGGAGGGTAAATATCCTCCCGGCCCTTCCTACACCACCACACGAGGGGCCTGGGGAAAGGGGGAATGGAAAACAGCTGGCAGCTTTGCATTTTATAATGCAAAAGACTCTTGCTTAGTGGAAAGGGCTGACACGTTCTCTTGGCACCAGCTGGCAAGTTCCTTGCCCCAGCCCTGAAGCCTGACAGCCGCTTTACACAGGTGTGTCCCTTCGGCCTCTTCGTCAGGCTCCTGGGACATCGGGATCATGTTTGAGCAGCCAATAATGGATCTTAAAAAAATCAAAAAGTAACTCTTTATACTTGGATGGCACAATGGAATGCAGATCACAACATCTGATTTCTATCTGTGTAGATTTTGAGGCTGAAAGGAAACCAAGAAGAGAAGGTTAGGTGGAGGAGGGGAATCCTGTCCAACCGGCATGGATGTTCTTTTCCTTCACTTCTGCAAGTGGCGCCATGTAAACGCTTGCTGGTGTTAGACAATTAGCTAATGCTTCCTCTATTAAGAGCAGACACAAGTGCCTTTCCTGTGACTACCACATATTTTATCCATTCAAACAGGCGCATATTGAATAGAGTGGTACGGAGAAGTTGCAGGCATCGTGATCTTATCAGGCTGCAAGGTCTCATTTTAAAGTTTAAGAAATGTACATGAATCAAGCATTAAAACCAAATGTGCATGCATTCTTAAATGCCTGACTCTTAATTTGTTTTTCGGTTCTTTTTTGTTGTTGTTATTGGCAGACATAAACTGATAGTAATAGTGACCCCTACAGGAAAACTGCTGGACATTTCTATGTTGATCCTTAGCCATTTAGTCAAACTGGCCCTTTCCCTCTTAGCTCTTACAGATTCATTTACAACTTGAGAGGAAGACCTGTTGGCTTCTCAAACTGACTGTTGTATTATAATGATTCATATCAAATGATTAAAGCTAGGGCAAACTGAAGTCCAGGTTAACTAGGATAACTGACCTGTTAGGTCAGAAGTTGCTAAGATTTCAAAAAAGTTATGAAATGTAACTTTTTTTTCCGAGAGGTTTTTGCTATAGGGCGTGTGCGCTCGCCAGACAGACAGAGAGACAGAAAGCGAGAAATCACCCCCCAGAGGAGATGGCCACACCGCAATCCCTTCACCGTTCTCCTCTTGGGATCTTGGGCACACATGCACACGCGCCGGGTGTGAGTTTTAAGCCACCGGGTCCGGGACGCGAACCGTGGTCGACTACATGGAAGTCCAGCGACATAGCCATTATGCTAACTGCTGGTCCCCCATGAAATGTAACTTTTTAGAAAGATTGATTTTTGCTATCTATTGAGATTTTTGAGAGATTTTTGCTATAGGGTGCATGCACTTGCCAAAGAGACTGAGAGATAGAAAGTGAGAAACCACGCCCTACCCCCCCCCCGGCAATGGTCTTGCTGCAGTCCCTTCTCCTGTATTCTCTTATCAGGATGTGGGGCACGCATGCGCCTGGCGTGGGTTTTAAGCTGCTGAGTCTGGGACTTAAAACATCAGCTATGTTGAGAGCCCAGTAACGCAACCGTTATGCCATCTGCTGGTTCCATGAAACAAATTGATGATGGTAAATCTGCACATCTGGTCACCTTGGCAGCATGTATCAGAAGATGTTAAAACTAGCATAAACTGGAACAGCAGGTAGTATGGAAGTGAAGGAATTAGATTCCATATGGCTGACTGCAGTTCGAGTCCCAGACCAGCTGCTTGAAAAACACACTGGGCCTGTGTACATGCATACCCAAAATTCCAAGAGGAGAATGAAGGATAAGGAGAAACAGCATAGCTATCCCCCTGGCAGGTAATTTCTCACTTTCTCTCTCACTCTCTTTCTCTGTCTCTCTCCCTGGTAAGTGCAAGTGCCCTATAGAAAAATAATAATAAACCTAAAGTTGTTACTGAACCTTAGTAGCTAGGGAGAAGTGTAAAACTGGGTTATCACAGGTCATTTACTTTTACACTTCCATGTTTACTTATCTCTATTTTCCTTACCTTTAGAATCTGGGAACTAGGATTAGAATAATTTTTAAGTTGTGATGGGGCCAGCAGGTGGCATGGTGGTTAAAGATGCTAGACTCCCACATGGCTGACTGCGGTTTGAGTCTCAGACCTGGAGGCTTAAAAAAGCAAAACATACAGAAAACAAGAAATGGAAGATCATTTGCTGACAATAACATGTTTGTTGATGTGCTTGATTGAGACAATATACAGTGTACTCTGGATGGAAAATCTCATTATGTATGCTATAATGATGTACAGTGAATGAATGCAAATAAATTGGAAAAAAAAATTAAAAAAAAAAGAGAATGTCTGTTTTTCTAAATTATTCCCCAAATGCTGCAATTCCATTTTTTTCCTTTTGCAGATTAGAACGTAGACTGGACATGAGTTTCAGATGCCTGCCAAGTGCTGGGTTCTAAGGATGAGCTAATCGTCTGGCATTCTCCTAAACGTCTATTCATTCCATGCCGGCGCCTGTACTAGGATTCAGATAATAAGGTAAATCCTGACTTTAGGTAAAGCTACACAGTCTAGTAGACAGAAGTGAAACTGAGACCCTGAAATCTGCACCTACCCCTTCCTGCTTCCTCCCAAAGAGGGAGGGAATGCATGGAGTCACCTGAGTGGCTTTTTAGAGCTTGCAGGTGGGCATAGAGGATCCTTCAAGAGCGTCTCCCTTCAGCGCAGCTGCACTTCCATCTCTCTCTCAGAGCTCTGGACAAATGTAGCTAATGTGTTCTCCCCGTCCCCGACCTCCATGCCTTGGGACAAGCTATTCCCTCTTCTAGAATGCCACCTGTCATCCCAAAGTTAGATCATTTCTTCTGTTTCTTAAAGAATTATTCATTTAATTTTATTTATCATTATTATTATTTCTTAATTTGCTACAGTGCACATGCACTCACCAGACAGAGGAAGTGAGAAAAGAAAGCTAGCTACCACGTCCAGGATTCAAATCCTGGTCAACCAGGTGGGAGTCCAGCTTCTTAACCACTGTACTGCCGGCTGGCCCCAGATCATTTTTTTAACTTCATTAACTATTATTATTATTATTATTTTCCAATTTGATCAGAGAGAGAGAAAGTGAGAAAGCAAGCCACCAGGTCCAGGAGTTGAACTGTGGCCGGCCATGTGGGAGTCCAGTACCCTTAACCACCATGCTACCTGCCGGCCCCCTAGATCATTTCTTTTTTAAACACACCTCTTCTGAGAAACCATCTCCACCCTTTGTCTGTTAGACTCATCTTTTTTTTCTTGGATAGGTGTTTGCTATAGGCCGTGTGCACTCGCCAGAAAGACAGAGAGAGAGAGACAGAAAGCGAGAAATCACGCCCCAGGGGGGATGGCCACGCTGCAATCCCTTCTCCTCCATTCTCCTCTCGGGATCTTGGGCACGCACACACACGCGCCCGGCGTGAGTTTAGGCCACCGGGTCCGGGACTTGAACCGTGGTAGACTACATGGGAGTCCAGCGACATAGCCATTACACTAACTGCTGGTCCCTATTAGACTCATCTTTTGCTGCTGCATGAACACCTCTTCAGCAACTCACCTGGGCACTCCTGTGAGCTTCCTCTCTTAATTCATAAGTTATTAACCACTGGTAGAGTTTTTCTTGTTCATATTGACATTCTTAAATTGGCAAATTTTACTTGACAGAATAAAAATCAGAAACAAGAATTAGTCTTAGGTGAGAGAAAAGAAGGTTCTGGAGGTAGAAGACAGTGACAAACCAATAAGCAAGTCCACAGTGATTGAAGGAGGGACTTGGGAAGAGCTTACGTGTGAGCTGTCTCCAACTCACCAGTTGCCCTCTTAGAATGACTGCCCTCCTAATTCTGAACTCCAAGAACATGTGCGAGTA